TCTGAAAGCTTAATATCACCTTTCCAACAACAACGTAATTAGACTATGTATCTGAACTCAAACCATAAACTAAAACAAGATGATATTCATCATAAATTGCAGTGTTTATTCATAATGCCAAATGATTTGCTTCATAAAGTCATGATGTAAACTATTTCAATAGTGTTCTTAAGTACCTCACAGAATGCAAATAAAATACATATTCTTTGATAACCAGAAAACTGAGCAAAATGTTCACTTGGATCTAGAATTCAAGGTGCCTAGGTACAAAAGAGAATTCACTGATATTCAAAAGCTGCATGAATTTTCCCACACTACTTCCCTATCTAAAGTAACAAAAGAATTACCTGCTGCATATAAACATCCTGATGCTGCTGTTGCTGCTGGTGAGGATGGCGATGCTGTAAATGAAGTTGCTGCAATCTCCAGTCTCCCTGCTGTAGCTGCTGAAGAACTCTGTGCTGCTGTGGAGGCTGATGAAGGGGCCCCTGGCCTAACAAAATCTCAGGGCCGCTTCCAGGTCTAAGTGCTCCTAAAAGAGGTTTCCAAAAACTTCTATTAACATACTTACAAATTTCAATAAAATGGCTGGATTTCAAAACATTCATTTAAATATTCATTTAACCAAGGCACTTATATATCATTTTATAATATACAAAATCCACAGAGTCTCAAAGGATTATTTACTGTAGTTCTGAGTACCCGGGAAAGTTAATTTTGTGAGCTACAACTCTAAATAAGTCAATGTCTTAGAAATACTTTATCTTTCACACTTCAACTCTCCATGAACACAGCAGCCCTGCCAGTTTGCTCCATATTTCTCAACTGTATCGTGCAGTTAAAAGTCTGTGTCCCTGCTGAAATGATTCTCTCCATCTAGAATGCCACTTTCCACCTACTGCAATTCTTCTTATTCTTTAAAGTTTAGCTCAAATCTCTCTTCCTTGTTCCTTCATCTAATAATTTATCTACATCTACTAATTTCATTCTGCCTTACACATATTAATTGTTTGCAGGGCTATTTCCTAACTAGGGCCCATGAGTGATAGGGTGATGACTTATTTATCTCTTAGCACCCTGAAGAACCTTTTATATAACAGATGCTCAATAGATGCTACTGTAATTAATCTATTAACAGTCTCCTAAATGGTTACCTACTTATAAGCTTCATAAATTTTACCCTAAGAAAATCCTATGAATAAACTTTTGAAATTAATGAAAAAGGTAAGGCACACACAACATCAGAAAGAAGAAATGAAATATACCATAATTTCTATATTCCCTTCCAATGAGTTAATGTAAATTCAAATGAACTAGTCAATCCTAAGAGGAAAAAAGGAAGTAGAAAAGGATTCTTTTTCATTGGTGTTAATATCTTTAAACTTCCCCAAGCCTTAAGTACAGCACCTCTATGACAACAGTTTTATAACTATTTCTAATTCTTCCAATTATAAGAAAGTGCTTGTTCATTTTAATTACTCCTGATAATATTTATAAAAATATAAAGAAAATTAAAACTGTACTTCCACCACACAGACATAACCACCATTAACCTTTTAAGTGTCTTTCTTTACAGTTGGAAGAACATCAAAAAGTTAAGCTCTTCAGCTATACGTTCTTCTTTTAGGGTCCTGATGTCTAGCTGGAGAAGACTCATGGCTGGGGGTCAAGTCCAATCACAAACCAAAGATTTTCATGCAATAACTCATGAGGCTCACTGCTCACCCTCACAAACTGTGACTTTTCTTTAGTTTCATCAAGTTGAATAGAGCTCCTTGGTTTTCAAGTCAAGCCACAGAGCACCAGAGAACTCCCAAACAACATCACAACAATCCCACATGAAAACAATGCTTCCAAGTACATCATTAAATCCTACTATTATTCCTCACTTTGCAAATGATAAAACTAAGGCTCAGAGAAGTGAGTTCACAAAGTTAAAAACAAATGGTAAACTGGAAGAAAATATTTACTTGGCAAAGCTAATATTCACAATACATAAAAATAAAAGAATAAAAAAACAAGACAAATCTCAAAAAAACCTGCAAAAGATAATTCACAGAAAACAGCCAGTAATCTTATGAAAGAATACTATTAATCAGGAATATTGAAATGTAAACAAAAAAGTTTTACCTATTAATAGGAAAACATTTTTAAAAAGCAATACTATCAAGTGTTGGCAAGGGCACTCACACTGTTGATGGTAGTGTAAATTTCTATAGTGCTTTTGTATAATAATTTGGCAGTATCCAACAAATTTTAAATTAGTATACTTTTTAATATCTCCTCAAAAAATGCCCTGACACGTAAATCAAAAGTCTGTTTTAAGAATGTTGGCCACAACATTATTAATAATAGCAAGTATTGGAAATAACTTAAATGGTTATATAAGCTATGGTATAGTAATACTATGAAATATCATATATCTATCAAATATTACATAGTAGATCTATATGTACTGACATGCAAAGCTCTCCAAAATATATTAAGTTAAAAAAAAAATCACATTGCAGAGAACTATGTATAGTATGAATCTGTTTATGTTAAACGCAACATGAATTATCTGTATCTGTATATATATATATATATATATGGAAAAACATAAAAAAAGACTGGGAGGATGCAAACTAAACTGCTGCCAGTTTACTCTGGGAAATAAAGGAATGGGAGACTTCTACATTTTTCTCTGAATAGTTCTATAATGTCTTAATATTTTAAAAGAATATATTCATGTGTTACATTTTGAATAATATTTAATGGGGGAAGAAATGGTAAAAAATGCACATATGGGGGAGAAATAGTAGTATTTTTCCAACTTAAGTTGGAAGTACAGAAGAAAGAGAAATGTCACCCTGACATGAGGAACAGGCCTGACACTCATAGCCAGGTTTTAGTGTTCTCCAGATGAACATAAACCATTTCATAAAACACCAACGTCAGACAGAGCCACACTGTGACCATGATAAGCCAGGACAAAGCCACTCCATAGTTAGGTCTGAACATTGACAAAATCAAGAACACTGTCCAAACTACAGAAGTGACCAAGACTCTCTTTGTCTTGTCTGAGATGACTGACCACTGCTTCTTTACCAGCTGAGCCTTTAGCCTATCTCCTTCTAAGTGAAATTTACTAAGATAACTAATGATATCATACCCCAGCTTCCTGATAGCTTCCAATCCAAAGCAAAGCCATACTCCTTAAAGTCTCCCCAAAACTACTTAAAATAAGCCCAAATCCTTAATAATGCTTTTTAAATACCATCGTACTGAGACACTCCCACAGATTCCCATGATATATGAGGAATACAAGTTCGTTCCTGGTGGTCTTTGGCTAAAGGCCACTGATACATGATAAACTAATAGTATCTTCAAACCAAAAAAATGAAGAAAAAAGAGTAATTAACATTGAATGCTTACTATGAAACAGAATTTTCCTAGATGCCACACACCTGTTATTTACTAATAACAGGAAAAGTCATTGTTATTCTCATTTTATAAAAGAGAACAGTGAGGTTAAGAAATGATAAAATGGGAACACAAAAGATTTCAAATTCTCCTATTTTCCCTCTTCCATGGCCTACTCCTCCATCTAGTGTACCTGATCACCACAGGTTTGAAACAATATGTCAGGTAACGTAATCCTCCCTGAGCATATACTTTATTTCACAGTAATAACAGCAGTTAATAGTTAACATATCTTAAGGACATATTATGTGGCAGGGATTATATTAAGCAGTCATTTAATCCTGACAGCAATCCTATAAAATAAGTATTAGTATTTTCCTAACATATATTACTAATAAAGGGAAGAAATAGGACATAAATCCAGGTTCATGCACCTCAAAGTGTGGGATCTTAACCATTAGAAGATCCTAATTGAAAACATTTTAACATTAAAACAAAAGATATATCATGAAATAAAGTGCCAAACAGGGTTTCCTTGGAACAGGACTTCAGATTATACCCCTGACCCTTGAGAGAACAAGTTTACTCTCTAATATTAGGACTATTTCCTTAGGGAAAAATTTTTTTTTATTCTACACTATATCATAATGCTTAGGAGATATTTTAAATTAGAAAAACGATTTTTCTCAAAATGAGAAGACAAATTTCTATTTTGTAATGTCTACAAGGTCCAATACAGACGCCTTTGCCAAGACTCTAGAGTCAGTACAAAAACATATAACTTTGTAAGGCTAAGGTTTCAACTTCCTCCTTTCCAATATAATATAGAACTTTCTATACTTTTGAACTTTATTAATACCACAAACCAAACTAGTTGATGACTCTAGGGACAAGCATATTGTGAGCTTTCTATATCATATTTTTATATGCCAGTAACTTACCTTTGCCTACAACTTTAAGAAAATATTAGTTCTGTTTTAGACTGCAACAGAAAGTTTCTTAAAAGCATTCTGTTATCTACTTCACAATAGTAAGTTTGCCAGTAATTTACACTCCTAGGAAATTAAGCCAGAAAAGGTTTGTCTACATTAACTATAAAGGGGATGAGGCTGGCAGGGCTGCATTACCTTTTGGCCTGTGGTTACCAAATTCACCAGGAGCAGGGACTTTAACTGGTGTTGCTGAACTTTGAATGGTCAGCACACTGGGAGTGGTAGTAGTAGAGTTGGCTTTTGGTCTTTGTCTTGGTGCAATTGAGGTTTCTGTTGGTCCAATGGTATCAGTTATTCTACAACAGAAAAATACATTTCATACCAAATATTAGCATTATTTCTAACTTACTCTTTGTTCTATACGGCAGCTATTTCAACAGATGTATTTTAATTATGATGATGATCATATTAGTCTTCTTGGCACCTTCCTAAATCTCAACCTCATATATTATATATTTAATGAAGACAGGAAAATAACATAAACCTAACGATTTCTTTAAACTATTCATAAACTGCCACTGAAGCTGGCAGACAAAGAGTATAAGATTGCTCTTAAAAAGATGAAATAAAGGAAACAAACAGAAACCTTGTTATAAGGTTTTGGACAAAATCGAGAGCCAACTCTCTAAATCAGTCAGAGAAATGAAAATAAGAAACAACAAATAACTGTCTTCCTTAGCTTGGACTCTAGGCCTTAGAAAGAAAAGACTGCACCCTAGAACATGTAAAACAAAAGAAGCCAAAACTTTTAAGAAATGAAGCTACCTGCTTACATTCTGCTTTTTCAATCTTTAACTTTGCCTTACTTAAAACACTGAATGGAAATTATATAAAACCTTCCCACTAGGACTTAGTTTAGGCCACAGACATGAGTAGTCAAGTGGTAAGTATAATTCTGAAAGCAAGAAACACTAAATATAATTTGAGAAGACATAGATATTTGTTCTCCTTCATTAAAAACACCCAAGAAAAATCTTTAACATATATTTACTAACTTTGCTTTCTATAAATTCAGTACAAAAACTCAAGTAAGAGTCACATGTTACCTTTTCAACATGACTGCAATAAAATCTCACATTTCCTGAGCATATTTTCAAATGATTTAATACTTAAAATTTTTGCATACATATGATTTATTGAGTGCACATCTGTAACTGCACCAATCCACAGGTCTTTCTTATACCTGTACGTACCACAAGAGGGAGCCCTGTTCACAACTATCTTTCTGAGAAAGGACGAGAAATCCAGAAAATCAGAGAAATACACTGCATGTGTGCTATTTTCTAAATATAACATTTATGTTTTAGATGGCATAGGAATGGTACAAGTCATATGAAAATTGAACTAAAAGGCAATAAAAGATCATGTATACATATAACCAACCAGATTTCATTTTAATAATCAAATATTTCTTGAGTTCAAATTATGGATGTAGCACTAAAACCAATACTATACTCTGTATGCTCAAGTAATTTGGAGGAAATAGTGTATACAATCTTTCTATTTGTCTATCCACTCTTTATTAAGTGGGTAGTATAGGCCAGATCTCACTCTGCTTTGTTCTTGTTCTAAATCACTCTCTATAGAGATTCATAACACACATGAGTATAACAAACCTCTGAAAAACATATTAAAGTTCTGCAGACTTTTTTTAGTCTAATGTTTCTTAATTTATTGTAGCAATGTGCCAATATCTAACAAACAATATCCAGAAAATATCCAGAAAACATGGCACAATACCCTGTCTTCAAAGACTTTACAATGTACCTAGGGAGAGATGGAACATGTTCATGAAAATAGAATATAATATGGCAAAAATAATCAGTGCCAATCTAGTACTGTCAAGAGTTTCATGGAGGAGTAATTCTACCTTTAACTTAAACTGGTTAGTGAAGGTATCAGGCAGAAAACTGGAGATAAAATTGTGTGTGTGTGTGTGTGTGTGTGTGTGTGTGTGTGTGTGTGTGATTTCACTAGGCAGTGAAAAGAAACTAAGCATTCTGTATGAAGAAATGGGAAGAAAATGCCTGGACAGAGTAGGCAAAGTGAAGATACAAACTTGACTGAAATAAAAGACTGAGTAATTACTGCTATCAACGCTGCTGCACAGCCTCCTCTGCAGTATTGAAACAGACACAGAACTGTTTTCTCTGCTTCCCTTCTTCTCCTTCCTATCACCTGACCAATCTTAATTAACACACAGACCCTCTCTCTCAACTCTTAAAATCCTTCAGTGTTTTCCTGTGCCAGTACAGTGATTCTCAGCCTTTCCACCTTTCAGCTGTGTTACATAAGTTTTACGTTTTTAACAATTCCAAGAGCAGATGCAGATTTTTAGGCTTTTCAGAAGTAAAGCAAAAAAGTGCCACAGACTGAAGGCAGGGCAGATGGATAACATTCATAAAAGCTTTAAAACATGTAAATAATGGTAATAGCTATTTAAAGATTTCTCCAGGGTGTGGCTCTATAGTGTAGTGTTTAGCATGTCTGCTTTACATGCAGAAAGTCCTGGGTTCGCACCCCAGGTGGAGCCACGGACCAGACTCCAGGTATGTGCCATGAGCGCGTGAAAGGAGATGCTCCACGCCTTCAGAGATACAGTTTTTAAGAGGAGCCAGCAGCAGATCAGGGGTAGAAGTGGGGAGAAAGGAATTAAAGAGGGGGGAAAATAAAATAAAAAATAAAGATTTCTCCAACACCCTTCCACCCCCATAGAAATATGCCTTTTACATGGAAAAAAGACTAACAATTCTTTATTATTAGGTTTTATACACATTTACATTTTTTTCAAGTTCTTTACTGTTATTATCAATATAAAGTAAACTTAAATTATTGACTAATTAACACCAATGAATCTTACTTTTTATATGCATGTGTATAGATTTTAACATACTATGAATAGCACTGAATTTTAGCTGTGTTAACTATTTCATATGCTTATAACTGTATAGCTATAACTTGTATCATCGTAAAAAGATAAAGCATTCTTATTCAGTTGACTCATGCTTTTTTAATCTTTATCTACCTTCTTAAAGATTTAATCACTGACAAAACAATCATTTAAAAAAAGTAACAATAAAATTCAGCTGACAATTCTATAATACTTTATAACTACCACTCAACTATAACAGCAGTTGCTAACTACATCGAGGTCATAGATAGGAGAGACTGCTGGTTATGCTGGATTCCTGCAAGTCAGATGTAACTTTACTCCTTTGTTCCTTATTCAAGAGTATTTTAAAATTCTAGTGAATGAAGATAATATTTTTAGAGTGATGCCATATTTTTTTAAAAACTAAGTCATTCCCAAATGATATTTTAACAATTTATAAATAATAGATTATTTATAACACATCTCACAACCAAGTCCAAAATAGAACTGACTGCAAGACTGAAAATTCACTGGCCTAAATGCCAAAGGCCAAATTTCTCAGCATGACACGTAAACAAAGTTGCTCTTGACTGGCATTTACCTATCTCTTCAGCTTCACTTCCCACCACTCCTGTAAGCGTCCCCTATGCTCCAGTCTTGCAAAGGCCATTCTTGCCTGAAGCACGTGCCTGCTATAGTTTCACACCCCATCATTCAAGGTGATGGACTGTTTCTCCTTCAAGCAACAGCTCAGCCCCCGCACTCTAAGGAAAGAATTCTTTCTGCGCTCCTGTTTACTCTGCTCCTCACCTTTCCTGAGTTGCCTGATATCTATCAGGTTGGGACTGTTTACTTGTCTATCTTCATTAGGATATGAACTCCTTGGGAATAAACATTGTTTCTTTTTCTTTGCATTTCCAGTATCTGCATCTTGCATATAACAGGTACATGGACAAATATACTTTATGGATTTTATATCAAATAAAATACTCTTCGCAGAAGAAAATACAGTACAGAAAAAAGCTGTGACCCAAGAAATCACCCCAAATGTAACATTATACCTGATATCGCATAATATATAATATGATCATCTAAAATATAGTCCTGCTTATTAACTTTTAAGCTCAAAAAAGTGCAAGGAAAAAAGTCATTAATTTAATCATTAATCAGATTCGGGTCTTAACCTACATATTATGTGTCAAAGTTATTAATGCAGTAAATAACTATGAAAAATGATTTAAAACATTTTATTTCTTTACCAGTCTTAAAAGTAGTATCATTATAACCATCCATTATAAATTATACATAGTAATACACATTCTAAATATTAGCATATAAATAATAGTTTATGAATTTAGAATACTCTTAATAGTTGCCTGTAAGAGCTATTTTTTCTTTCCTTAAATTAAAAAATTATACTAGCTTTAAACTCAAATGTAACATTTCATAAATTAGAGCTGGCATGTGATGAATAATGACAACCCCCTATGACCCACTGTGACTTGGCTAGTTACATAATTCCTTCTTGATTTCTTAAAGTGAGCTGCTCAAATGAGACTGACGTCAAATTCCGTCTCTAATACAAAAATGCTTATTTTGTACTTGTTATCTAAACTCTACACCACATGCAGTAAGGAACACAATATTTCTTGTGAGTGTCGATGATATTTAATTAATTACATTTGCTATGACTGAAAAGAAGAACTATCCCTTTTTAAAAAAGCCTTTTCAAATTTCAGCATAACTTTGTCTACCTGGCTTTTATTTGGCTTTTCCTAGAAGCTGCTTCACTAGCAGTCATCGGTTCAGGAAGAGCTGAAGGAATAGAAGAATTCTGGAAAAAAAAAATAAAACTTTTCATTTTAATTTTCATTTTAATAGCAGAAAGCTTTAAAGGCTACAGATATATTCTTAAACTTAAAAAGTATTGTCTGTGAGATACTATTACTTTCACCTCAAATACCTACAAATTATCCACATACATCTATATCTGCCAGATCTAATCTGCAAATATCACTGCGTGTTACACAAATATTACTTTCATATTCATGTGCCACGGAAACCCTTCAAAAATAAACAAAAATATCATTACATCCACTTTACAAATGAGTAAATCTTGGCTAAGAAAAAAGGATTATATTATACTTGTAAATCAATGACTTTCACACTTTGAGAAAAGGAGCCAACATCAAACATATGGGTAAAGTGTTGTTTACATATTGCAAACAATTTTCATGACACTGCTTGTAAAATCTAGAACACAAAAGCAGAGGTTTTACTCCTCTGTTTATGCTCTATATAATGTCTGGCTTATAGCAGGTATCAATAAATATTTGCTGAATGAAAAGCTAAAAATCTACAGTCTAATGTCAAAGTTACTTTCATTACTAGAATGTTAGAACTGCATGGCTTTCAGTTTCAGCAAAGAATACAGTACACTAACATAGTAAGGACTTCAGAAAACAAAAAGGAAAACTTCCTTCCTTCTTTTTCTTAGTGGGGTGGATTATGTGATATACAAAGGAAAGCCTATAAGAACAAGTGAAGCAAGAATGATCTTTACAAAGTTGAGAATGGCTTGAAATTAGTGATGATTCTGGACCTTCAAAATTAGCAGAGACATGCCTTACAGTTAAGTTGATGTACTTAAGTAGCGTGCAGACACTGAATATAATTCAAAGCCTTTGAATGACATTAGCTATTACCAACTCAGCACCTTCCATGGACTAGGTATTGGGTTTTACATTTATTATTTGTAGTCCTTATAATTTGTTTTACAGAAAAAAAAAAGAACATTAAATAACTTCTCAATCGATATGGCCCTCCATATCTGCAAGTTTAACATTCGTGGGTTCAACGAAACTTGGATCAGAAATGTTATTTGGAAAAAAATGTTATGTTGTTGCCGACTTGTATGTAGTTAGGCCTACAGTGGTTGCATGTGTACTAACTTATACAGACATTATTTTCTTGTCATTATTCCTTAAACAATGCATTGTAGTGGGTATTACATGTAATCTAGAGATGATTTAAAGTATACAGGAAGATGTGCATAGGTTATATGCACATACTATGCCATATTATACAAGGGACTTGAGCATCTACAGATTTTGATATCTGTGGGGGGCAGATCGGGGTCTTGGAATCAATCTCTAGCTGATACTGTGGGATGACTGTATACAAAATCAGTTACTGATAAAAACAGAATTGAACCCAGGTCTCTCTGTTTCCAATGCCTATGCTCTTCACATCAAAAGTAATCAAACTTTCTCAGTATACAGAGTGCTCAGTGTCTCAGTAATTTTTCATGATACCCCTAGCTCCCTCCACCAAAAAAAATCTAACAGTCCTATTCTTTTTTAATAGTTTTGCCCAAACAACTTAATAATTATTGTTTGTGCTGTGTCAGACAGATGTCATTGTGTTTCTTTCAAACATGCAAAATATCACGCAGTGCCCCCAAGTCTACTGCAGCTCCCCAGGGCACTTCAGTGCAGTTTGGCAGCTGTGGCTTTATATCAAAAATACTAACACAAACACACTATTAGGCCATGTGTCATGTAACAGTCATGAAACAAGTAACTCTGAAAGTAAGTATGTGTGTGTAGGCGTGTGTGTGTGTGTGTGTGTGTGTGTGCACGCATTGGCAGTATGTAATAAAATGAATTTTAAATTCATATCTCACTTAAGAAACTACTTACATTGATATTGGAGACTGGACAATCCTTTTTGGCAAATTTAAATGCAAAATAGGACACTTGAAATATATCAGGTCTACGCTCTGGATCTGGTTCAAGCATGAACCCTACAAGAACAGATAAAATGTTAGGAAGTTTTACGGAACCCAGAAGCTATCTAGGAGCACATTAAAAGGATTATATATATGTTTCCATTCTAAGATCAGTGATGATTCCAATCAATTTTGTTGATGTTTATAGAAAACATAGAAATTGTTATTTATACATGAACTTAAAGCATTCTCCCAAGCTAAAGACGAATCAGTCACAGAAAAGCTCTGCACCAGAAGTATTCATTAACGAATATGAATATTCTTCTGAGAAAGTGACACAAAACAAAAAGTGACTTTAATGAACACTAAGGAATCATTCATGATGGTTCCAGGGCCATAGCAGGAGTCCTTAATTTCATTACTGTCTAAAATACCTCTACTAATTTTTAAGTGACCTTGAATCATTGAGAAAAGACTAAATTGTGTGCATTATAATCTTTTTAACAAAGTAATACAGGGTTGACAGTATAGATTTCCAAAAACATTCTTTCTTTCCATACTGATGCTAACAGTATTCAGTATAGTTCTATATTTAACATGTTACACATACCTGTTCATAAGTATGAGATGAATTTTATGGCTCTATTATGAACAGATTTCACACTAACTTTACAGCATTGCTTGAAATGCTGGACCTTTTTCCTAACCAAAATGACCAATACCATTTATCTATTTCTTGAGTGACTTATTAATTTACAATTTCAGAAGTTTTATACTCAATTCTATAACTACAAAATTCATATTTTGTTAAGACATCTCCATGTTCTAACTCTGATTCACTGATTAACTCTTAAGATCTTACAATTTTCAAATCATTTTTTAAACATATTTGAAATGTAAGATTTACAGCTTTAATTAGGTAATATTCTGAAATTTGCTGATAAATTACATAGAAAGATCAAACTATATAAATAGCTAAATTAAAATTATAAATCAAAATGAATCAAATCTTCCTTTCAAATTTAAGTAATTTTTAAACAATGTATAATACATCTCCAACAGCATGATAAACTTATTTTGTTTAAAAACACAGTTGTTAGGCGAGTGACAGCACAAACATAGCAAAAATTTATTTGAGAAATTATGAACTCTGTTTCTTAAAATATTCTACATGTAACTTGATTTTATGTACTTAAAAAGGCTAACATATATAACTTGTGAAATGATTTATCATTTTGTCACTACTGTTTGATGGAAATATCTAAAAACATTTAAGTAGAATATTTATTAGCTTATATTCAACTTCATTTCGGAAAAGATTTGAGGAATCTACAAGGTTTATTTTATCCTCCAAAACCATATTTTATTTTGATATCAACAGATATTAAATGTTTTAAAAGTAACAACAGTCCATGACATGGGATAAATTTTAATAGAATTTTAACAATACTTATTCAAATAATTTTTAAAACCAAAGAAATTACAAAAAACCCCCAGCAAACTCACAAACTTAAGATTCTATTTTTCTCTTCTAACGATTCAGTTTATTTGGCTTTTAAAATCTAATTTCAAGAATAACTAGTTATACATATTTATTCCTATAAAGGACTTGAAGTAGAATACAAACTATAAAATTTTTTGAATATATGACAATATTAAAACTAATGGAAAAGTAACAGCTAAAAGAACAACAACATCAACAAACCAGGATGTCAGTAAAGAAATTGCATATTATTTGGTCTTATAAATGTAGACCGCAAATTTAGTCTCTACTTTCTAGCTGTAGACAACAAATAGGGCAACATGATCCATTACATGAATCACAGTTTTTAACACAAAAATAAAACAGGTGCTAAGAAAAAGCACTATTCCTGATACCAAAAGCAAAGAGTAAATTCTCCTTTGAGTCTTTCTAAAGATGGCTCACACTGAGTGAATACTATCTGTAAAGAACTGCAATGAGTGACACAGGGTAATGTCTTACACTCTCCTCCTTCCATGTGGACCAGTGACATAACACCTAAATGCAGTTCAGTAGAACAAATTCTATAGGGGTAGAGAACAGTACAGTATGAGAAAATACTCTCTGGACTAGTTTAAGCGAGGAAAAACTTTAAGTAGCTAGACAGAAAGAAAATGATCCTTCAGGCAATTCTACGCATTTTTTTCTTTCACAATAGATGAAAAGCATTGGGAGGTAATAAATAAATTTGACATTTTATATTCTCTAACCAATACCTGTACAGGTAATTTTATCTCTCAAGTTAAGCATAGCATAACATCCTCTAATGATTAGGTAGCCAGGCTGTGGGGAGATACGCTATCACCTTATAAGGAAACAAAAGGAACTCCAACTCCCCTGGCTTATGTTTCCATGTGGGAATACATTCGCAAGAGCCAGTTTGTCTAACTGTACCGATCCCATTTATGTAACATAAAATCCGTTTAAAACGTCTAGCATTTATTTTAATAAGTAAAACAAAATACATCAGAATGCATTAATGTGGTAAGTATAAGCAATGTCTCGTGAAATGTTTCATGCATGCACGTACACGTGCATGCCAGATCATTACTGTGGATCGCAGGTGAACAGTTTGAAAACCATTGTGCTAGTGACCTCTATTACTATAACTCACTCCCCTCCAACAGAAAGACAGCAATTTATCTAATTGTTAGACTAGGGGTTAAAAAGGAATAAGCACCCACACAGGCCCATCTCTGCTTTTTCTTTCAGAACAGTTTGCCCTCAGGACATATATGTTCTCTGCAAAACCAAGTTTTGCAAGTGGCCTACTTCTGTGGAAGAAGTCTAAGGTTTTCCAGCATTGCCTATGACTGGGTGTAAATAAACCTAGGGGCTGACTACAGATTAAAAGGCCCACTTGGCATCATATCTAAATTTCATTCTGCAATCTACTTTATCAGTTTATAGTTTTACCTGACAATCTCCCATACCCCATCTCTGATTTGGTTCTAAATTCAAAGTATGAAGAGGTTGAAACCCATAAGTAGAAAAACATGGCTACATTTTTATCTCCGAATATTTTTATATTGGATATTATCAGCCATTAAAAAAGAAAAAGGACTAATATAAAATTATATTGAATGTCAACTCCAATTGAAAAAGAAAAAGAAAAAGGAAATAAACTCAATAAGGCATCTTTAAGCATTTAAATTAAATGACATAATTTCCTAAACTATCCAAAAGAATGGGTTGCAAAATATACTCCTAGACTACTGAATGACAGAATCTGAAGTGCAAAAGTATCAGCTCTAATCTAGCTAAACATTGAGGCCTATCTACAAAGAACAACAGCTTCAGTTTTATAAGTAGTTGATCCAAAGTCATTTTCTCTCACAATTGAACCTCAACTGTAGTATTTATTAACCCCTACTTCATGACAATAAAACTGTTATCAACTACAAAAATGTGCTCTTGAGGGGAACAAATAAATTAAGGAGCACCTGTGTCCAGTTTATCTAAGAGATTAAATTAAAAAAAAAAAAAGGCAGAGAAGCTAGAAAACATCCTTGTTTACTCAACTTAAAATGATCATGTGAACCATCATGGGACCATTTCCACTGTCCCTGATTCTACTGCAAATATAAAATCAACATTTAAAAAGTTATCCACATAGATAAAAGACTACTTCTTTGTTGCTCTTAATTGGGTGAATCTTTCTATTTACGCAAATATTAATACAACCTGAGAACACAAAATAGTCTCAGCATGAGAGCTGGTATGTGATTAAACCACCATAGTATTTCCAACTGATGTCAAAGACATATCTGATTAAAAAACACTTATCCAAGGCAGTTGAATTAATTACGTTTGTACTAATTTTGCATAGTAAAGTACAACATCCATGCATGCTCCAACAAAAAGAGCAGCTGAAGGAGCTGCTGCTGCTGCAGCAGTGGCCAAGTTAAATTATGGTTTAATCAAGGGCTCAAGCCAAAAATTAAATAAAGGAGTTCCCATTCAGTTACACAGAACGATGGATTCATGCCTGGGCCAAAGTAAAAGTTAAATCATCATCTTTAATCTAACAGCTCGGCGAATTTAATGGGAAAATCTAAAGCCTCTAAAGAATGTTCCTGCTTAAAATTTAATTTTTTCTTTCCAAAAAGACATTTTTTTCTCTGCCACAGACGTCCAATTACAAGTAATTTACCTGAAAAGAGAAACACCCACTCTAATTTTGCAACTGCAAATACATCAAGCATTAACTTATTTTTATCTGTTAACCTATGGAGATTATTAAAGAAACTTACATGTTAGGTATATATGTCTTAAATATCTTATTCTGTGGACTACTACTGCAAACTACTAATTAATAGCCATAATAAATGTGTTCAAATCATAACTAAAACATTAAGTGGCACTATAAATATGCCGGCATAGTTTACTTGGGATAATTCTGGTCGCTGTTCCTAAAAGTTATTGATCAGAGCCCTTTCTCTATATCTCCCGGTGCCATTGACTGAAAACCTCCAAAGAAATCCTATCTTAAGCAGGATGGAAGCCCTTCAAAAAGTTAAAAATAGAACAAATATATAATCTATCAATTCTATTTCTGGTTATGTATTAGAAGGAAACAGAAACACTAACTAGAAAAGATATCTGCACCCCCATGTTCACTGAAGCATTATTTACAATGGTCAAGACATGGAAGCAACCTAAATGTCCATTAAAGGATGAATGGATAAAGAAAATGTGATACACAGAAAGAGAGAGAGAGAGAAAGGGGCGAGGTGGGGGGAGAGAAAAGACTATTACTCAGCCATTAGAAAGAAGGAAATCTTGCCATTCGAGACAACATGAATGGATCTGAGGGCATTATGCTAAGTCAGACAAAGGAAAGACAAATACATTTATATGTGGGATCTGTTTAAAAAAAAAAAAAGCCAAACTCATAGATACAGAGCAGATTGGTGGTTGCCAGAGGTGGGGGCTGGAATGTGGGCAATGTGAGTGAAGATACAAACTTCCAGTTACAAAATAAATAGTCCTGGGGATGTAATGTACAGCATGGTGACTACAGTTAACAATACGGTACTGTACATATGAAAGCTGCTAAGAGAGTAGATCTTAAAAGGTCTCAAAATAAGGGAAAAAATGTGTAACTATGTGAGGTGATGGATGTTAACTAGACTCACTGTGGTGGTCATTTCACAATATACACATAATGTTTTAGTTTTAATCAAATTTTAATCAAATCATATTATATACCTAGAATTAACATAGTTATATATCGATTATAAAATAAATAAATTTAAACCAAACAGATAAGCTGCTAAGAGCTAAGATACAGAACTGTAAAGCAACAATAAGTGAGCACCAAAAGCAAAAAACCCAACAAAAAAACCCACAAAGCTTTCCCTCCTGTTCACCTCCTGATCATTATGATCCACTACATCACTGCACAAAGTAAGAGGTGAGAAAAATAATTAGTAACATTTAACGGTATATTCTGGAATATATGATAACTTATTGGTAAAGCTTTGGGAGATCCACAATTAACCTGCAAACCCAAGTTCTGCTTCAAATTATCCAAAGAAATCTCTGCAGGGAAAGTATATCCTAATGCGTATCTGACAGCAGATGCCCTGATCTTTACCCAGAAGAATTCTTCTGGAAGAATTATAATAGATACCAGTAGTAGCAGTAGTGGTAGTGATCAGCAGTCATGATGATAGCATTAAAGGCCATCTCTTTACACATGCTAAGAAGCACTTTTCATAATTCAATTTTCACAATAACTCTAAGTAGTACATTCTCTTAATATGATCATTTTAGAAATGAGATTGAGTTAAATGGAGGTGCCCAATGTTCTATACCAAATAAGTGGTAGTGGCCCTTTGGCTTCAGAGGCCTTGTTCTTAATTTCCATCATGTACTTCCTTAACCACTCTAACTGAAGCTAAAAAAAAAAAGTGAGCCAACCAGCCTTGTGTTCACTCATCGTAACTATTCAGCAATTCCTTTAGTTTTGCTTCTCATTCTCCTCTAAATGGTCTCTAAGTCCTTTTCGACGCTTAGATTCATAAATGGAAAGTGTTGACGCTTAGATTCATAAATGGAAAGTGTTTCTCTCCTCATCCCCCAATCTACCTCTATCGCTTGTCTACTGGAAAAGTTAACAGAAGAAGAAAAATTCTAAATAACTGACCCAGCTAATTGTAAGAAAAGTCTGCAGAAAAGTATAATGAAATTAATAGCTAAACAGAGCTTTATGGATAGAAGATAATAATAATTATTACCCTTGACCAAATAGTGATAATCAAAAGTATATTTAATATTACATAACCACAAACCATACAGTTTTAACAAAGATTAGGCATGGCTACTTCATTTTCAAACATCCTGACCATATAAAATAGATGCAACTAGAATTAGTAAAACTATCAATACAAAAAAGATATTATCTTATAATAATAAGTGGAACCAACTACATTGCATAGACAATTGGCAGTAAAAAGTTTCACTTTCAAAAACTATAAGCACAACTAGGCAATTCCTGGTTTTGTGAATGTAGGATTTACTTCAAAAAAATGTAAATCACTAATTACTTATTATAAAAGCAGAAAGAAAAACCTAAATAGGATGGTAGGAAACAGGCAAAGTCACGTGAAAATATAAAGGACAGAACTGCAAATAATCTAAATGTTTCCTAAAAACATTACACTTTGTAGATAAGTATGTTCTGGTTTTAAAAATCTCTACTTTAAGCTTTTACTACTGAAGACAATATTTAAAAAGTAAAGTCCATAAAAATTCTTTGAGAGGAGATAAATACATTTACTTGTATACTTTTTATTCGATGTTTTTAAAAATTTCTGCCTAGCTCTCAGAAATAAGTTCAAAAACATTAATACATGACCAAATTTATACTGACACAGATAAAAACTAAAATCTGTACATTTATTGACAAATAAAGGAAGTATATGTTGCACAGTAAAGTCTCAATTAACTAAAGCCCAATTTTATCCAAAAGTTATCAAGTGTTTAGCTTCTCCACCTTGCCATTACACACAAACACATACTCACACACCACACATACACAGAGAAGAAAAAAAAAACACCAAACCTACCATAACAAAATAAGATCTTATTACTTTAAGCAAATTAAATCACAAATAAGGGTATATATTGTTCAGTCTCTCATACAGTATCATCCGCTGAGAATAATTAGTGTTTCTAAGATATTGCAAGATCTCCAATAAAATCCTCAGTTCAATTGTGATTAAAACATTATACTTAGGAACAAAACAGTGTCACAGTTACAATGACTTACAACAAGGGCTTCAATGAAAAGTTAAACTTCAGTTAGCTAGAACATGCAACAGCCAAAGTAAATTCCTCTACTTATTCTTTGAGCATTCCAATTAGTTCTTTCATGCTTTTGATGCCCTAATTTTTGGACAATGACAGAGTCTAATGCTTATTCAAATATACACTAAAAAGCATGTTTGCTCTTTTTAAAAAATCTACATTCTGCAAAATGGTGGGCTAAAAATAACAGGGCTAATGGGAAAAATAGATTTGTGACAGACCACTGAAAACCTATACAAATTTGTCACCAGAGTGCTTACAAAACATTAACTGGTATCTGGGAAGACAACTTAGACTGCCCAGGCAGGTAGTTTAACCTGGCTGGAAGCTGCACAAGGATATGAAAACAAGGCTAGAAGTGCTCAACTAGTGAAGGAGAACTATGGGCCAGAGGAGCTGCTATTCAAGGGGTCACCATTAGCAGAGAGCCACACAAAACTGAGTGGTAAATCTCTCTGGGAAGAAAACTCCAGGTACAGGCACTCATATTTATTATTATCCCACATAAGACAATGTAATTTCTGTATTTAACTGACATAATTCTCCAATTTCTAACACTGAACAAATCCACATTACAGAAATAAAAAGTGTGCTTTACATAATAATTCTGCAAAGTGAGGTTAGGTAGCCCTTTAAGCTCCATTTTCTGTTGGCCATTTTTCTTTTGGAGTGCTTCCCTTTTCTCTTTGATTTACATGAGCCTTATAAGAGAGAAAAGTTACCCATTTGTCAAATGTGTAAGATTTTTTTTTTCCAACTGATCATTTGATTTTAAACTGGGGTTCATGGATTTGGGAGGACTTTTAATGGTTTAAATTTATATGTAAATAGATTCATCTTTTCTAATTCCTGAGATTTAATGCCTAGTTTATAGATTACCCATTGTAGTGTTATAAATAAATTCACACCTATTTTATTCGAGTACATTTGTGTTTTATTTTTAATTTTATCTTATGATTTATCTGAAATTTCAGCATAAAGTTTAAGGTAGAGATTCAGCCTGATTTTTTTGACTACAAATTGCTAATAAATTTCCCCACTAAAGTGAACTGTCATCTTTATCATACAAAACATCAAATATATTTAGAGTGATCCTCTTTTCTACTGCATTTATCTTTGTGGTTAGAGGTTATGACAAGGAATATTTAAAATGCAGAAAAAAAGAGTAGAAATGCTAAAAACACTTTAAAACAGTGCTAAGAGGTGCTGTTTAAATACTGCAGCTTCCTAATATATTTTAGTATCTATTTGATGATCTTTCCCCTGCCCCCAAATCATCTCTTTCAGAAATTTTACTATGTACATATGTAAAAAATTAAATTACAGTATCAAAGAGGAAGAAAAATAACTTAGAGGAAGCCAGATGGAAAAGTGAGGTACTCTTTTGGAATCAAGGGCCCACAGGCCTACCCCTTTTGATACTAAGGTTGCTTTCTGAGAACCATTTTATAATCAGTAAAGAACGGATATTAAAAAGGGTGGCTAAATAAGCCAACGATCTAAAATTAGCAATACTTTGATCCAAAGAAGCAAGAAATGTGGATATTTGGATTTCAAAAGAACAAAAACTGAATAATTAAATGTTATGCTGTAAGTTTTTCAAGAAATTCCAGTTTCCTTAATTACATAATCTGTGTTCTACAAAAGCTTATCTAGGGACTTAAAAATATCCATGTACTAATCAGTAATTACACTGTTTTCATGTCTATAAAAGTCCATAAATATCTTTTAAAATTTTTTTTTTTTTTACTATAGCTACATAAAATTATAATAAATGAAATTAAAAGACTAGATTTAGGTAAAAGGATGTAAATAGTAGGCTCTAATTACAGTGTCTTAAAATTATTTCATAAATTTTTCCAAGTACTTACTTATTAAGCAATGTATGTTATGGGAGTAACGAGAATTGTCTGGGATGGTGAAGTTGCCATCACAGATAGCAACCTGACTCTCACCAAAAGGAAGAGTGAAGAAACAAAGTTTATACAGTAAACATCCCAGTGCCTGTAAAACAAAGAAGCATAATATCATCAGAGATCAAGTAATCAACTTAACCAGAAGACATAAAAATAGCACTAAATCGAAAACTAAATGTTATTTTTTAAATGCCTAATGTTTCTATACTGAATCAATCTGTTCACAAATTACTTCTTAAACAAATTTATGTGTTTAAATTTTAAGAAGACATTTAACTGTATCATTTCTGTATTTTTTTTTTACCACATTTGTGGCTACTTGGCTGAATTAATGTTATGAAACTCTAGATAATGATATAAATGATGTAACTAAAATTAGAAGTGGTTAGTCTCTTTTGGAAAATTATTTCTTTCATTTCTTACACAAGGAAAATATGTTTAGTACATAATTAGCATATAACCATCAAAGTAAGCTCAAGGCTCCTTCTAGCAGCATTTTTTAAAAATTAACTATAAAACATGTTTTAAAATCCTGGGATTCCAAATATGAGTTAGCCAGCACAGTTAAATTTATCAATACTTTTTTACTGGCCATTCACTAAGTACGTGCCATTATTTCGTACTATAAAAGTTAGTCTTCTATTTCTGTGTGTAATCTTATGATTTTTGTTCTATATTATACTAATCATATTTGTATCTGGGTAATCTATATTAAAATTCAAAAAAGAAGGGCTCTGTCTGCCTTACTTGCATAGCTTAACAGAAATCACAGCACCAGTCAATCTGCTTGCTGACAATGAAGACAAAACACACCAAAACATAATTCTCTTGCTAAACTGCTAACAGCTCTAACCTGAAAAGCAGTAATAAAATGTGATTTTCAGGCTCAAGAAATCATTATGTTGTCACAGGAAGTGTTGCCTACAAGCTTTAACAGTATAAAGGGAATTTCTAATTCTAAGCAGATTGTATAAAATTATCCAATATCCAATAGCAAATCAGCTTTCCTTTGTTGAATCTTCTCCACATATCAACTTAGCAAACACAACTAATAAATAAATATACTAAGTGAGGCTACTATAAAGATCACAATACACAGAAACAACTGTGTGATTTCAACAATATTAATTTACTAAACATTATTTTCAATATTATAACAGTTTTCCACTGAAAAAATTTTAAAGGCTCTAGACATTTCAATATATTCATTCAAAGACATTACTGGGTTATTTATTATATGACTAACAAAACTGTAAAGATTGAATAGAAATAACCAGTTCAATGTGGCTTAAAAAATTTATGAAGCTTTGTTCTAATAAGGAAGATATTTTCAGTATGCATGCAGTAAATTGAGCATAAGGCTCCCTTAACAACACTAAAAAAATACTATTAATGGTGTATTATCTGCATTAATACATCATTCTCCTACCCAAAAAGTCTAGGCAAAAAGAGATCTGCATTTTAGCCCCAGTTTTATTTTGTCAATCATATCTTTCATAATGTGTCTATGTTAAAGTAAATGTTGCAGGAGTTTCCAGATAACAATTTTAGACAGCAATGTCAGTATACTTAAAAAACATAAATCTGAAATACTCACACATTGTGAACACAATGAGGTGTCCTAATTTTTTTTCACACCAAAGGCATTTCCCTCTTTATCCATTTGATACAATGAGAATTGTTCAAAAAACAGAAGGAAACAAATGACCTGATTTTGAAGGCTATCACCATCTTCCGTTTTCTTCATTAAAAAGTAACATAAAACACCTCTCAAGTGAATTTCCTAATGCTTAATAAAATCAACATCACAGATCTCAGGGTAAAAATAACCTACAATGAAAGCTTCCAAGCAAAAAAAAAAATAAAAAAAAAACAAATCTCATCCAAATAAAAAGTGCTAAATGAATAATTTCAACATCACAACTCTCGGAATCAGTACTATCCTGAAACAGGACCAGAAATATAATTCTTGACCAATATGAATTAAATATTTTTCTGGATATTCTAGAATTCACACCTAAAATGTTATAGCGTACTTGTTTTACCTGAGCAAAGATAAAAATGGCATCATCTCTGTCAAGCATATAAACATAGATTGTTTTCTGATTCTTTTTTGCTTCTTATTTTATCTTTGAGTATCTGTAATCCCACAGCTATACTTAGCTATCCATTATAGAAATACTACCCCATATACTAATCTATAAATGGTATAAAATGTATCACAGACAAATTAATATGCTGCTTGTGATGCTTACTAAGATCATGAAAAATGAACAAAAAGATTCTCTCTTCTTTTTGTTAAAATACTGGATAACAATCATGTGCTTAGAGACTAATTTTTTCTTAAATCAACCTTTGATGATTTCAAAGCAGTAGTTTAGCTAAGTTGTCTGTTGTTTCATCTGCTGTTGAAATATTTTTTTAGGTAATTTAAATTTCAAAAGCAGTCAAAAAATAGGCCAGAAAAGACTTCCACAACCATCTCTTCTAATACCTTCATTTTATAAATTAAGATCCAACTGAATTTGCTTTCTGTGTTATACTATAAGCCATTTGATGAGTCAAATGTTAATGCTGAGAAAAACAAACTGAATCTGAGTTATAAAAGCTAAATTGAACTTATTCATGGTTTGATTTAATTATGTATATGGTTAAAAACTGAACCACCACAAGATTTAAGGACTACTGTTTGGTGAAAAAGTATATATTATGTAGACAGATGAAAAGATATCAAAGATATCTTTTTTTATAACCTTGCAGGAATTTGGGGGTATCCCAACCTTTATAGGAGGAGGCCAGGAAAAGGGAACCAAGGAGATATTCATTTGGTTTCACGAATTATGCTAGACTGCTTTCTGAACGTTGTTTTAAAAACAAAGTAAACATGATTTTTCTTGTAAAGTCTACAAGTATTTCCAAAGGAATTTTTTCCTCTATCCCTCACATAGCAGTACATATATAGCTAAATATTGGTTGAATTTAAATGAATTCAAATTTAAAATACTTTCCTGCAGTTTAGTAAATATAGCCAAATATATTTTATTTATGAAATAAATTCTAAAGAGGTACTGACGTTCTAGCATAAAGTTCAACTATACAGAAATACAATCTGTCTCAATAATTCAATACAGGTATATATGCTAAATGATACAGAATTTCAATATACAGAAGTTAGTCAATGGCATGTTTAGAATTAGAAAAAAAGTGTTACTCATGTAACTTCCATTGAAAAGATCCTACAATACTCTAGAAAATTATCAAATGTAATTACTTATGAGTTATGTCCAGCTTTTCCATAAAGTAATCAATCAAAATTCCACTGAATCAAAAAAATGTTAACACTCATACATAACCTAAACTCTAAAAAGTACTGTGGTAAAAAGTTACATCATATGGAAGTCCTTTATTTGTCTTTTTATACCTAAGCTTTCTATCTCAGAATTATGAAGATAAAATGTTCTAATATTTTTTGTCTCCTGAATAAGCAGCTCTACTGTACACCACTCTTCTACTTATTAGGAAATGCCTTTTGAGGAGCAGGGAGGAAATAATCAACTGAACCCATATATATTTTTTTAATTTGATTAGAGAAAACATGAACCTTTCTTGGCCTTACCCAGATATCAGCCTTGGTGGTGATGGATTTCCCTCCATAAAGGTTGATCATTTCAGGGGCTCTGTATGACAGAGTTGTATACCTGGCAGTAAATACATGAAATGGAGTGGAGATAATTTAAAAAAACAGACACTACATTGTTTCAACATAAAATACTCCCCCCACCCCAAAAAAAAACCCTTTTGTTCATTAACATTATAGAAAAGTAATACTATTTTTAAAAGCTCATTAAAGTCTATCAAAAATCAAACAATACAAAGCATATATACACATTTTTATTCAAGTGCAATAGTATCTCTAATGATAAAAATCTTAATTTTCTTTAACAGAAAAATCTTAAATAAAGACAATGTATTGGAAACAGTTTTACTTGAATTTATTTAAAATAATACGATTTGACTATAAAAATCTTTATCAAAATATTTTAGTCAATTTTAAAGTAAAACTTCCATCCTCTCAAAAAATTAATTTATATGTTTACTAAGGAGTTTGTTTTTAGGACTCTAACATACTTCCTTGTACATGGCAGTGTATCTCCTTTAGATTTGTTTTTATAACTTGTTTTAAAAATAATCTAGGTGCCATAATTCTAACTACACTAAGTACAATTCTAATACTGACCACCATCATAAGCTATTTGGAGTTACAAGATACTGTGAATAAATGTTTATCACTATAAAAACCCCAAATACATTATGAACAAAATATTTTAATGAAACAGTGTTTAATTTCATGGCAGAAAGGATCAAGATACAGAAGGACTTCCTCTATCACGGCATAATTTAAAATTCATTTTGAGTGTTTATACATTTTATTTTACATGAAGTACCTTAAAGGTTAACATTCTACCACCTTACTTCTTCCAACTACCCTGATTTGTGGGATATAATGAATGATACTACTACAGAGTAGCAATCTAAGAAACCAGGATATAAACTGCCATGAGGGCAGAACTTTTGTTCACTGCTAAACTGCAGCACCAATAACCATGTCCACCACACTGTAGGCCTTGACAAAATATCTGAAAATTGAATAAATGGTTAGACCATTTACTCCTCAATTGGGCCAAAGGGCAGAAAAACCCTTCACAGTTTGAGTTCATCACAAATGCAAAATTCACTGAAACTTAACTATACTTCAGATCTCCCAGCAAGAGATAAAAGTTCAGGCAAGTCAGAGATGCTTGAGCAGAATCCTATAGCAGCCATTAAATACCACAATACAATCATTTTTTTTAAAAAGTATATTCCCAAGAAGCCAACTCAATAATTTATTGTTCCTGAATTCCTCAGGATATTTATATGTTTACTAAGGAGTTTCTTTTTATGGAATCTAACATAATCATCACAGGCTAAGTGTTCCAAGTAGAATATGTACTCTAAAATCCATAGCGTTTGTTATATAACTGAATCAGAGTATTATCAGCTCTACTTGAGCTATTTCAAAATACATACTGCAGTTCAAGTAAGAGACCCTAGATAGTCTTTAACAATTGAGAATTTATGAAGTGAGAATGCAACTTAGAAAAGGCAACTACATAAAAAGTCCTATTCTGACTGATATTTTTGTACCATTTTACTAAGGTGGTTTAAGATTTACAAACACTTCTGTTTTATAAAACTAGAAAGCGAGAGAGTCAAGAGACGTTTTCCAGGAACTCTAGCAACCAGGGAATGTACAAGATTAAGAAAACATAAAGCAGATATGACTTATTTTTCAAACAGAGCTTTCCAATACACTATTACAAAGTAACACATTTTCCACATTGTTTTCAATGCATACAGAAGTCAATCTTATTATTATTAAATACAAAGTAAAAGCTTAAATGTTTTCAAATATTGTTTTCCTAACAAGAACCCTCAGTGTTAGTAAAATCAAAGATGCTTAACTGATCTCAATAATCACTTAAAACTCTTTAATGATTCCACTAATTACTATAGTTTGTTTAACAACTTTCTTGATAAATGTTTACAAGGTAGATGAAATACTTGTATCCATAGTAAAATGTATTTCCTATTGAATTAAAGCAGACTTAAATTAATCGATTTCTGTGATACAGAAATATTTTAAAGAAATCTATAAATGAAATATATAAAAATTTCTATTAGCAGAGCTGGTCACAGACCCAAATTAACTAAAACTCCCATGAGACAAAGCACAATAAAGATGGACACTTACTTTTTAATTTCTTCTTCTACTACATTAACTCCATCTTTTTGAGGATTAAGAAATTTATTAGTGGCACTGCCAAAGTCACAAAGTACATAGTTTCCACCATCATTCAACAAAATATTTTCTACCTTAAGAAAAGAAAATCAATTATTAGTAGTATTTTCAAAATGAAAATCATCTTTTACAACCATAATTTTATACAATAAACACTGACAGGTTTGTTTTATACACACACGCACACACATACTCCCTCAAATTATGAGAAAAGACAAATGAATCAGACCAAAAATATACTCTACTATGTCTACTGCTTATCCTACTAGAACAGAGAAGTATTTCACCCTTCCCAGGATGATTATTGCAGAGGCCAAGAAACCCTAAATCTTCTCTAAAACTGCTTCAGGGAAAGACAGTAACTAGTGGCAGTCAGAGTCCATACTATACCTCCCTCCTTCTCCATTTCTGCCACTTTAGCTTATCTATAGACAAGCAATAAAAAAAAAAAAATTAAAATTCTACCTCTAATCGACTCCTAATACAATTTTTATCTAAAATACCACATTGAAAAGACTGACTTTACCCCTTAACTTGGAGATCAGAGTTGTAGTAACTAAACAAATTTCATGCAGTTTCTAGAACAGGAAAAGGTGGGTTAACCACCTAACTTTGCTACCCACTAGCATGTGTACCCTTGACAATCTGCTCATCCACTCTGTTCTTTAGTTTCCATATCTAAACAATGCAAACAATAATGATATTTATTACATGGGATTGTAAAAATTAAATGAATAAAAACATGTAGATTGTTTAAAAATGACTGGAAGAAGGTAATCATTCAATTAATGATACTATTTTTATCACATTATCCACAATAATTTTTATTTTTGATAGTCTTAGATGAGTAATTCAATTCTTCTCCAATCTATCAAAATACATTACTGCTTTGTTTAATTTTTCTTCTATATTTTATTTTAGTCTGCTTTTTTAAAGATTTACATATAAAAGCTGTACAAGAAATCTACTTAAACATAGACATGCATAAACTGACACATGTGAAAAAAGAACTAAGCATATGAAATATGGCCACTACATCTTTTCTGGTTTTAAATCAAGACAACTCCGGTGAAAACATCTATATGAAAAAAGTTAATGAGTTTTAATAATTTTTAATAACCTAAAATGAACTATACTGATCACCCAAATTAAGGGACGGAGGTCTGTAGTCATACATTTCAATTTTGCCTTAACTTGTATCCTTTTACCACAGATTTCTCTGGATAGTTTCATGGTTAACGACCTATATTCTAACTGACATCTTCTATTCTCTTTTATCTTAAGAGCATTTTATTATCACTTTTCATAAATTTTGTATAATCGGTCAGAATTGAGATTCGCTCTCATTTGTTAAATATTAAGACCCAGCTATGTGCCAGGCAGTGGTCTAAATGCTTAGATATATCAATATAAGAGAAAAACCCCTGCCCACATGGAGCTTACATTCAAATGGGAGAGGACAGAAAAAAACAATAGGAATAATACATAGGCAAATTATATAGTACCTTAGAAAGTGACAAGTGATAATAAAAGGCAAGAGCAGGTGGAGAATGGGAATGAAGGTTGTAATTATAAATAAAGTGGTACAAGACAGAATTCACTGAGAAAGTGAATCTGAGCAGACTTGAAGGAGGGAAAGGTTAACCATGGGCTATCTGGGCATAAAGAATTTCAGGAAGAGGAACTTTTGCAATCCAGTGTTTATGGCTATCAACAAAGACATCTACGATTCTCTAAAATACGTTCACTGGTATCTCTAGCAATATGATATAAGTAATGTTCAATCTCCTTTGGAAATTTTTTCCAGTGTAGCAAGTGGGTACCATATACAACAGGTAAGGGTCTATACACAGGTAAGGGTCTACAAACAGGTAAGATAAAGTGACCTTAAAGACAGTCACCACCAAATTCTAGTCAATCTTTAGATAGCCTCAGGAAATGTAGCAGGGATAGAGACCAATCTCAGTGCTGGCATAAAAAAAAAAAACTGGGTTAGATGAATACAAGTCCAGGAATATTTTAACTTGAAAGTTTAAAACATATTAATCCATAAGTTCTCTAAAGTTGTACCTTCAGATCGCGGTGAATTATTGGAGTCTTACACTGATGCAACCTTGCAACAGCTTCACAGGTATCACAGAATATCTGTAACACTTCTGATTCCGTAAAACCTGTCTGCAGCTTCTTATTCATCTGATTCACTACCTGCCCAGCTAACCAAAAAAATAATTTTGAGGACATATTTTTAATAAATGCAATCGATCACAAACAAATTAAGAAATGCCTTTATGGTCTCAGGTACTGGAGAACTGGCTCTCATATAAGGGTGAGCTTATTATACCATAATGTATTGATTCAATGAAATACATTTTTTTCACATATTTACATCTCTAAAATCAGGGTGTACCTTAAAATTGACAGGATCACAGATCTGGAAAAACAGTTATTCCACACTGTACTAGTTATTGGGTAAACAATGGTGAACAAAAATAAAGTTTCTATCATCACGAAATTTCTAGTCTACAAGCAGAGATAAATGTTAAACGATCATGAAAATAAATCATGTCATAATTATGTACAATAAGGATAATATGAGAGAAACCTAAATTTAAATTGGTGAAGCAGGATGGGGAGAAGAGTATCTGATAAGGCCATCTAAAGAAGTGATATTTATGTTGAGAATCGAGTATTGGCAAGAATTAACCAGGCAGACATTTCGGACAAGTGCATGCTAGCGATAGCAAGTGGCATGTACAAAGGCCTCCAGTTTGTGAAAGAGTTTAATGACTTTGAATAACTTAAAGAAAGCCAATGTGGATATAGTCTAGGAAGCAGAGAAGAGTAAGGTAAGATGAGACTGACAAGGCAGACAGCAATCAGCAACACTTTAGATTTTAACTTAAGAACCAAGGAAATTTTCTGATTTGACTTTTTAAAAGAGATCCTTGACTAGGGAATAAGGAAATCACAAGAGTAGAAATGAACAGCTAGGTTAAGAAGTTAATTAATGCTCTAAACCAGGTAAGAAATAATGGCCAGAGCAACTTAACTAAAACCAAACAATAATATATGAGCCCTGAAAGGATTATTATATATTACAATATGCTACAGTAATTGACAATATGCTATAATAACTGACAATATTATTGTAGCATGTTGTAATATATTTATTATATTAATAAATAATTCTTAATTATTAAGAACTATCAGTATATTTTTAGAACACAAGTAAATACGTGATTAATTCAGAAAACATTCTGATAAAAAACAAGTTTGAGAATTTAAAAAGGCAGGCTTATGTTAACTTGATACTTTAACAAAGTTGGATAAAAGAATATTTGCTACTCCGTAATCTGTAAGAAGGTGCATAGGCATACACCTGTTCCTTTTATTATTGAACAGCATTCTCATGTATTTTCTGAAACAATTTTTCTTAGAATTTTAAAGCAGAAGAACATTAACTTTTATCTATCAATCTCTGACTTTCAGAAAACTCAGGTCTATCTGGTTGTCAGGGTATCTCTTAAGAGTGAGGCGCCTGACCAGGTAACCATTTCCTTCATCCTCCTGTCAGACACCCTGACTCATTTTAACCAACAACTAAACAAAATGAAAAATGTTTTCTTGGTGTTGTTCATTCACATTCTTGAAATATCATTTTCCAGGTAAAGAAATCAAAGCATATCTGCTTTACACACAGAAGATCCTGGGTTTACGCCCCTGTGGAGCCATGATCCTTGGTCTACAGTCATGCTACCCTGAACAAGCCTGATGTCTGAACTCGGAAGCTAAGAAGGGTCAGGCCTGGTTAGTACTTGGATGGGAGACCACCTAGGAAGACCAGGTGCTGTCGGCATAAATAACAATAATAATTTTTTTAAAAAGAAAGAAAAATTTTCAGAAAAAAGAAACACAAGGAACAAAAATCTTTTTATAAGCTGTATTATCTGCAGACGACAGAAGATTTGCACCTAAAACAAGAGAAAGCTGTGTTATAACAAAGAACAATATTGAGAGAACAAGAAAGAGTTCTGGAAATTAAAAATAACATAGCAGAAATACAAAATTCTATAGAGGATCTGAAAGATACAATGAAGAAATGCTCCCGACATAAGTAGAATAAAAAAGGAAAATCAGAGGCTCAATCAATCTAGGAAGACCAATATTCGAAAAAATTAAAAGTCCAAAATGAAAGAACAGAGAAAATAAGAGAAAAAAACTGAGTGCCCAGCAAAAAGATACCAAAATGACCTATAACCAAGGCACGTATATCTTGAAATTTGAGTATGCTGGAGATAAAGCAAAGATTCAAAAAGGAAAGATTCAATGGCAATGGATTCCACGGAAAAAAAAAGGTCACATAAAAAAAATTGAGGAATCATAATACATCCAATCTTTCAATAGAAACACTAGAGAAAAATGAAATGATGCCTTCAAAACTAGAGAAAAATTATATCTAACCTACAACTCTTTAACCAGCCAAATTAACAAACAAATATGGATGTAGAATAAAAATATTTTTATATATGCAAGGTTTCAAAAATGTTTTCTATCATAAACCTATTATCAGAAAGCTACTAAAAAATGTACTCTACCAAAGGCAGTACTAAAAACAAGTAGTAGGCATGAATAGCAGAGTCCAAGATAGGAGGAAGGCAAAGAGAATTCCCAGAATGACAGCTAAATGCTGTTCAAATTAAGCAGAACTGAAGTCTCCCCAAAAGGATAGCAGGAAGACTTATAAACTCCCCAAAAGTTTCTAGGGGAAGAAAAATTTAAATTACACAAATATTAAAATGTTTAAACATATTGCATAAAGATTTACACTTCCATTGAGGAATATGGGGATAAATAAAATACTAATAAGTATGAAAGAAATTAGGCAAATGAAAATTGGGAAAATTATTAACTGCGGGAAAAGTAAAAAGAAGTAGAAGAAAATGTAATTACAGAGTATTACATGTCACAGTTTAGTGACAAATAAAATAATTTAATCGCTGATTTTTAATTTAATCTAAAAACTGAGAATATATTACACTGACAATAAAATCCTCATCTTTTCTTGGAGCTACTATCTAAAACAGAAAATCAGCACTGGCAAGCTTTAAAGAGCTCATAGTCACATACTACCCCTGATTTTCTAAGTTCCTTCTCTTTCATACTCTAAGGATCTCACTGAACTTACAGATTCTCCTCTACATAATGCAGTATAGAAATATGGAAGTAAATATGAGAAGTAGCATCTCAAGGATTTTAAAGGGACTACCTCTGAGAAGACGGATGGGGCAGGAGGATATTGACTCAGCCATAGTTTAACAGATCTATTTGACTTTTTAATATATACATGAATAACTGATAAAAATAAAAATTCCATGTAAAATAAATCTTGCTGATTCAAACAAGATAAATTTTTTCTCTTAATTTTTAAAAAGCAAAAGAATGCCTTCCATAAAACAATTTGTTCCCTATAAATTGGAAGTTCATTTGGTTCCCCTTTTAAAATGTCTTCTGGATGACAATTAATTAAACTTATCCAAGGTTTATGCCCAAATAAGTTATCTTAATTATGCCCAATTAAGTTATCTTTAAAAACTTACAAGGAGCCAAAGGCTATTACTCAACTATAATCCAGTTAAGAATCAGTAACATAAATGCTAGAATTTAGGAAACTGAGGCAGGAAAAAAAAATCAGTTTCTTCTCCTTAAAGAGGTCAAAATGCTTTACAGTAAGAGTATGTGAGATATGAAGAAAACAATTATGAAAACATCTAACTTCATTTTTAAATTACATATGGAAATAAGTTAAAATACATTGCAATAGATATTATAACATTAATTCACTGTCCTTCCCTCCTTAGAAGACTGGAGTAAATGAGACTATATTTTCTCCATCACCACTACCATCATCATCCTCCTCCTCCAACCTTCAGGAAATGACAAGAGTTCCTGGTAAAATACTTAATAATCATAACCATTTTAAGAGAATCTAAATATAAATCAAGACTCCCTAGAGCCAAAATTGCCAGATACAGTCTGATTTTTTTTTTTAAGAGCAGATTTGCAGGAAATTGATTAACTGGCCCTTTCACACATGAAAGTAAAAAAAAATTCAGGGATTTTTTTAAAAGTTATTATTATTGTTCTTCCAGCATACTATACAGGTAATTATTTATTTAAAAATACCACATTAAGTCCAAATAAAATGTGATTTTATAGCTTCTGATATTTATTTTAAAAAATCCCAAATACCAAATAATACAAGTTTATAAAAATTTTAGCTCAAAATACATACTCTAAATTTATTATATCTAATATGTTAAAAGATAACATGGTAGAATGCTGGAGAAAAAACCTTATAACACTAATATTGATACATAATGATTTTCTTGGATTATAAAAGAAATGTATAAAGGAGCATGAGGTGTAATGCTCTTTACTTGCTTAGACTTCTTGTTTTAAACCCAATAGCATTTTTCTTTGTCCATTTACCTGCTCACATCATCATTGCAGCAACTATGACTAGGTTTTAAATAGTTTTAACAACATTCCTTAACTAGACAGATAATTAAAGGTGAGACTGCAATAAATGTCTAGAATAAAGTGACAGCTGCCCTGGGAGAAACTAAGACACCCAGTAACCCATTTTAAGGCCAATGTTTTTTTAGTATAGAACAAATGCAGAAAGTACTTACCTCGACAATATTCCATTAAGATAAGCACTTCCCATACATTATCAATAACTGAATTAACAGCACAGTCCAAATAACCCACAATATTTTTGTGGCCAGACAGCTCTTTCTGGGGGGAAAAAAAATCAGAATCAGAAAATATACATTTTAAAGCTCTATCATTAATAATGGTTTGAAGTCTGATGTACTCAGAGAATTTCGAAAAGTAAGAATTAAGCATTAGTATGGAATCTGACGTATTTCAAAAAGGTTTCCACAATTCCAATGGAAAGTATTTACATGTGACTATAATTTTCTGACAAGTAAATATTCAGTAAACACTTATTTTTCAATTCAATCAAGAAGAAAGATTGTTCACCCAAAAGTAAGTCTCCCAATGTGAATATGTAAGATAGTCTTTAAGGACTCAAAAATAAAATATCAGAGTTTCTATTTATATTTGTTTTTTTCTAAAAAAGTAAAGAAATTAAGCTCTAATTTGAGAATAATGAGAACTAACAACTGTATTCTCATTTGCTTGTTTTACATACAACATATTGCAATTAATGTGTAACTAGTTAAATACATTTTTAATGTACATACTTTTAAGAAAATAACCTAAAAAATGAACAAGTAGCTAAAAAAGATTTCTATAAAGAAACTATAAATACTAATAATACAAGAGTAAGGAAATAAGAAAATGGCAAATCTGACACTTTTGGCTTCTAATGTAAGATAGTTATTAGCATATAATGAGGTTAAAAATCATGATATAATTAGGTCCATCTAGAAATTAAAAAACAATGATTAAGAATACTATTTAAAATGAATTCACATCCACTATCAATAATAAACCTAGTTTTAACTTTGTAATATAATTTGAGGTATTTGCTAATTGCAGCTGAACATGTGAATAATTCATAAATCAACATACATAATAGCGGATGGGTTGTCAAAAAAAGTTGGAAGACACCTGCTCTGAAGAGCTAGCTCCCTAAAATATCTTGTTCAAAAGCATAGAATTTGAATGTTGCTACGGTTGATGATAACTACATTTTTATGTCTCAAAATTATACACAGTCTATTAAAAGGAAGTACCATATCTGGGCTCAAGTTAGAGAACTTAGTCTAAGACTCCCACATTACCTTGGGGTAAATCTTTTCACTCTATTGGCTCATAGCCTTAACTTAGTCTAAGACTCCCACATTATCTTGGAGTAAATCTTTTCACTCTATTGGCTCATAGCCTTACCTTAAAAAAAGCAAGTCTCAAAGCCTAATCAACTCTAGTCTAGCTAAAGAATAGGAACAATAAAAGCAGAATTCAGAAAAGTCATATTGTATAAATGTGCCCACCATCTTCAAATAAAAGGGATCAAAATATGTATGTTAATAAAGAAGCTGATAAAAATAAGAAATCCCCCTCTTAGCAGTTGGATAAGTAAGAACGACAATAAAAAAAATTTAAACATATATATTAGCATTTGATAAACACTGGATGAGGAGGAAGACAAGAGAGGAGAAGGGAGAGCAAGAGAACATGAACACGAAGCCATCCAGAGCACTGAGAATAAGCAACTGCAGAAAAAAAAGAAATTTTTATTTTGTACTATTTTAATGTTTAGTTAACTGAGCTACAGAAATTTTCTTTAATGGTCTATTAAAATTCTTTTCATTTTTCCTAATATTTAAAAAAACTTTTTCTCTTACTGAAAGATATATATTGCAGAGTATACCCAAAAAAAAAAAAAAAACTTTATAGCATGATTTTAAAAATAAAAACTAATTATTGTCTGTGAATACAAACACATACAGTGAAGGTACTGAATACCCGTGGGAATGGTAAACACCAAATTCAGGACAGTGGTTTCTTTTTGGGTGAGAACAGTATAGATACGTTTGGAGCAGAATATACAGAACATTTCAACTACATATGTAAGGTTTTAATTCTTAAGCTAGGTAGTAAGTAAATTGGTATTTATTACATAATTCTCTAAATTTTTCTACTCTCAAAATTATCCATAATTAAAATGTATTTTTAAAAAAATAGCAAAGTAGCTTGCATTATATACAGTAAGGAAGAGAAGAGGACAGGAAGGAGTTGGCTATATTTAGCCCTAAGTATGGCTATAAGAAATGTACTACAAATTCCAAGATAATTTTCCACATTAATTTAATGATCTTCAAAGTTTTTCTAAGTGTGTGTAAACTGATAAGCAGTTTGTCTAAAAGCTGATTAATGTTATAGTGCAAAACCAAAACAAAATACACAATTTTTTTAACAGAAATACTCTTTCACTTACCATAATTGTAATTTCCCTTTTACAAATGTTGAGGTCTGCCAAGTTATTGACATACATTCGTTTCAAAGCATGGCGGATTCCACCATGAGTCCGCACCAGGAAAACTGTGGAGAATCCACCTAGAAGAACAAGGACCAATTGATTAAAAAGCATCGGAAACTACTGCCAAAACCATGTAAAGCAACTGAGGAGCTTAAGTTCAGAAGGAAATAAACTGACTGTACCCGACAAAACTTAGAACAGTAAGCAACAAATATATTAGATTAAATGCCATGACATCAGCTTCCTATGCCAATAATGAAGTAGCCCAGAGAGGATAATATGCTTTTCAAATGAATATGCTTCTGTTTTAAAGGTTAAAATACCAAAATTTCATTTTGCATGGGAATACCTCTTAGTTATATAGAAGATGTCACACTATAACTACATTACTATAGTTTGACATATACTAATAAATGCCTACCCATCGGCTTCTGCCTCTTTTGTAATGACAAAACTCTAATTTAATATGATACAGTAATGGGATAAGTTGGGTGGGTCCCTCTTCCAATTCCACTGGGTGAGCCAATATTGTTCTAAGGTGATAATGGGAATCCCATGTACTATTGTCAGTACAGTTACTGACAAAATTTAGGACTGGATATGTAACCAGTTTAAGCTAATGGGACATAAGAGAAAGTCTGCTGGGAGTTGCAGAGAAAGATTTTCCACCCGGAAAAAAAAGGAAGACTTGTGGAGAAGGTCTGGCTCCTCCTTCTGGCTCTTGGATTTTGTTGTTCATGAATATGATGTTTAGACCCATGGCAGCCATCTGTGACTGTGATGGGAAAAAAGAATCAGAGAGAAAATGACCTAGAATACTGACGTAATTAGAATACTGAATTAGACAACTCTGGAACCACCTTCTTCCAGCACTCTTATGTAAGATGGTAAATGTCTCCATTAGTATTTACGACACAGTTATCTGGTCAATCTGTTACCTGCACCTGACAAAGCAGCGTATCTGAAATACATAGCTGGGTACTCTAAAGAATAATCGCTTCTGACGCATCTAAACAAACATTTCCATCTGGAGTTTTAAAATTCGTCTCAGCATAGAATATTTTTAGCTTAATTATAGTTTAAAACAAAAAATAATGTATCGCTTTTATCAATTTGATAGCCCTTAGAAAGCAGTACCCTGAGCAATGATAAGTCAAAGCAGTCAAAGGAAAAGTTAACTGCTGGGGATAAACAAAAGGGGAAAAGAGCGCCTAGGATGCTCCCGACTCAGTGTAGATTCATTCCAGATTTACCAAATCTTCCAACTGCGGTTACAAAAGGTACGACAACCACTCTGTAGATCTGGATTGCCATGTATATAATGTAGAATAAATCAAGTCAACCAGGAGAGAAAAAATGTTTGGGAAAGTTGCTTTCAATAAAAGCTCTAACAATGCATGGCAGTTCTTTATAAGAAATTCACTTAGCATTAATTTCATATGAAAACATTAACAAATTAGTAGCTCTAAAAAAATACTACTGAAACTACTCCAATTTTATTTGATTTAAAAATTAAGAAAAATGCTGGAAGTCAGAATAAATCTAGATATCTAAAGTTGGTATGACTATAGGTCGTGATAAATCATTAAAATAGCATTTGTTCTGAGACATTTCTCTAGAGATTCCCCTAAAACAATGCTTCCCAAATACAGCTATGCATCAGAATTGGCTGGTGAGCTGGTGTGTGTATGTGTGGGAATTTATCTTGAATAGTTTCAGGTTCTGACTAAGTATGAATCAGAAGGTCTCAGAGAAACCCTAGCTAAAAATCCCCATACTCATATTATTCTACTTTTGTATCTGTTCTTATAAACATATAATAATGTAAGTTCCATATTAACTAGGGGGTGAGCGCGAGAGTCCCCAAGATGGTTCTGATGCACAACCAAGTTATATAGGCACTGAACCAGAGTAAAAGTTCCTATAGGAACCACCGTTCCTATATATCCATTCTTAACCATCCACAGAACAAATTTTATCCCTGTGAATCAGGGAAATTAGAGAAAAAATATTAACTAAATCTTCTTCATAAAACTCATTTCTAAAAGTTAAAGTTTTGTACATAGAGATAATGTATCTGTTACTATGATTTATACCTAAACATTATAAATAATGGTCATTAATAGTGCCTCCTTTGAGAATGATATGGAATCATTTGTTTATATTTCTTCAAATACTGTACTTCCCAGGATTTTCTGATTGAGTATTAGCTAATATTTCTGTTTGAAGAATGCACTTAGTGGGCGGTAACTAGTTCAGACATTATAGAAATTCAAGGGAGGAGAATCATCTGCTTGCCACCAATCCGTATCTACCCAATTCATCATCACATATTTTCCGCATAGATGTCTTTCATGACCAACTCAATTCATGCTCATTACTTCCTCAGGCATCTATTTCTAGAGTTTTGACTACATTACCACTTCAATTCTCAACTCATTTCTTACATACATCAAAAGATTACTGACAGGAACCACAAATTCCACTTACCATATATTTCTATGTCCAAATCAATATACAGTTCAAATCTAATTTAAGGCATAGTTGTTAAATGGATGCTAAATTTATAATTCCAAATTGAGATTAAAAAAGTATTATAAAACACTCCAGATGTTCTCAAAATCACATGAAAATAAAAGAACTAGTAACAGATATTGATCTGACAGAATAAAAAGAAAACTATATTTATGAAAGTTGATATGAAAAGGAAAAGAAATGGTATCTTATAATCTGTAAATCATAAAATACTGGCATTCCTTCCCATCTGTGGGTTATCTACCCTGGAGAACAACAACTCTCAGCTTTCCTTGGATTTTTCCAGGATAGGACATGCATGCGGTTCACATGTGAAACAATTCCTACTTAACTGAAACCTCACCTCTCCTGTCCTCTCCCCACACACAAAAACAGTGATCAGATTAAAATGAAGGAGTGGCTTTAAGCCAACCTAAATTTGCTTCAATTGGTAGTACTAAAGTAATGACAACGTAACTTGCACCTGACTGAATACCACCTTGGAAAGCACTGCTCTAGAGATGCCAGGTGACCTTAGTAACCATGTAAGAAGGTAGGACATGTATTTCTACAGACTAACTTTTCCTCTTGGTAAGCCATTATTTAGTCCTCCTTATATTAAGCCATTGTTTTTCCATGCTTAATTTGTCTTATTTTTAATTTATCGATGGTATATATATTTGCAACTCCCCTAGAATTTATTTAGAAAGATAACATGAAACAATGAAAACGTGATTCTATAAATGGTAGGTATTATAATTACTACTACTACTACTATTATTACAATTTTGCTGCTGTTATTAATACTACTTCATCTTATGACGACGGTTAGACTATACATTTTAAAGAATACAAAAAATGGAAATCAACACATGGCTTGATAAATAAGCTATTTATATAAACACAGTAATATTCGAGGAGACTATATTTACCTGCTTAAACATGCCCCAAATCATTTGTAAATACAGGTATAAATAAAATGTCATATAATTCAAAGCCAAAATCAGCTTTATAAAATGATATTTCATTTTAAAGAATTGAGAATTTGAGATAGTAAAATGAAAACTAAAATAATCTTTAACACTATAAACCACCTCTATGTTTTGATTTTTTTGAGTCTGTATCTAATGGAAAGAAATCCACTAGAGCCACTCAAAATGATGCCTAAATAAACTCCTCTCCCATTCATTTTAGGGTAAAAATGTTCTGTAAGTTATCATGTTTATTAAGAGCATTACTCCGGCACTACTACTATGATATAAGAAAAACTATCTGGTCTTTGTGACCAGTTCCTGGCACAGAACTTCAAAAACCCTTGAAATTCCTTGAAGTGTCTGTCTTTGTTATGCTAATAAGGTGAGCCCTAGTGAGGGCCCTAGATAGCTTTAAGATGGAAGGTGGTACCAGAAAAACCAACTACACACATAATTAGTAGGCTGGAACTTTTCAGCCTTGGGCCCCCACTCCCATCCCACCTTCTGACCTCTGGGTAGAAAAAAGAGACTAGAGACTGAGTTCAATCCTGTCGCCAGAGATTTAATCAATCACGCCTTTGTAAAACAACCTCAACGAAATAACAAAATTCTGAGAGCATCCTGGTTGGTGAACACACTGAAGACCTGAGAGAGTACTATACTCTGACTCCATGGGGACAGAAGCTCAAAAGTTAAAGACTCTTCTGGACTTCGTCCTACATTACCCGTTCGTATGGGTTGTTCATTTGTATCTTTTATAATAAAAAGGTTCTGTGAGTTGTTCTAGCAAATGATCAAACCTAAAAAAGGGTCACAAATACCCCCAAATTTGTAATCAAGCCAGTCCATCAGAAGTGCGAATAACTCTGGGGGGCATCTGAAGTAGGGGCAAATCTTGTAAAACTGAGTCCTTTAATTTGTAGGGTCTGCATTTATTCTGGGTAGTATCAGAATTGAACTGAACTGGTAGACACCCAGTTGGTGTCGGAGAACTGTTGTTGAAATGCAACTACTTATCCAGAAGTAGTAGTTACAGATAAATTTTATCTCTGCTTAGAACAAGAAGTATGCCCAACCAATCATTAAGAAACTTTAAATCTAATCATAATTCAGAATGGATCTGCAATAATCAAAAAGGGCCTAGAAGTCAGTACCAGATATTTTGGAGAAATCCAATACTAAATTAATGAGTACCTAACAAATATATGCTCATGTAGTCAGATCTCTTTACAGGTTGCACAGCACTTCCTTAAAACTCTCACAGCTTCCTATACATACTACATAGCATACTTGATCCTTTCTGTCTATCAATCTGTCTCTTCTACTAGGTGTTAAGCAACCTGACTAGGGCCTCACATAGTAAATGCAAAATGAATAATCAATGTGTTTAGAGCAGAACTGTTAAAACACTTTTGAATTAACCAAATGGCTCGGAAAAGAAAAAACAAGTATTTTTTAAATGTCTTGTTAAAACTAACATACACTACTAGCTTTTTTGACATAACCTGACAAGTAAAAAAGTTTCCTAGTCAAGAAATTATTTTTATCAGGCAAAATCTGTATTCAATAAATGACTCTCAGCACCTAAT